AAGAAGCAAGATAGGGGACAGGATGGGTACATTATTGGTAGGTGGCAGGAAGTGATAAGAGCTGATAAGATACCATAGGAGGTCTTAGAAAGCGAGGGTCGCCAACTCCATAACACGCGTTACAGAGACGCTAGGACTATGGTTCCAAGAAGCAAGATAGGGGACAGGATGGGTACATTACTGGTAGGTGGCAGGAAGTGATAAGAGCTGATAAGATACCATAAGGGCTCTTAGAAAGCGCGGGTTACCATACTCATAACACCGGCCACAGCAACGACGAGACATTGGTTCCAAGAAGTAATATAGGGGGCAGTATGGGAACATTATTGATGGGCGCCAGGAATTGATAACCGCTGATAAGATAGCCAAGAAAATTCACAGCAGAATTATAGCAACACTGGGAACTGTTGCAGCAAGTAACTCAGAGGTACTTGGGGAACATTAAAGGTGGGAGATAAATTCTGACAGTGTCCGACGAGGGCTTTTGGGAGTCCGTGTCTGCTCACATCACCGTAGCGAAAGAATGAATGGGCGAGTTCTTAATGAGCCAAGATGTTTTCCCTTAGTAAAGTCCCTCAGTTTTGGCGATCTGAATTGCTTCCATCGCTAAACGCTCGAGTTCCTCGAAAAAAGGATGTTTGGAGTTGTTGCCCAGTGAGGAATGATAAGAGCCACTGTGATTTCGTTATTTTTACCATCGGAATCCTTCCAACCGCTATGCTGTCCGATTTCCAACGAATGGTGATTTTAGAAATATGATGTTGCCCAGTGAGGAATGATAAAAGCACCTGTGATTTCGATATTTTTACCATCGGAATCCTTCCAACCGCTGTGCTGTCCGATTTCCAACAAATGGTGATTTTAGAAATATGATATGAGCCTAACATTGGCAAGTATTCATTAAAAGGGAAAACACGATGAAATAGGCCGTTTTGGAAACATAGGAATTAGGCTAACTATTACTGCTCAGCACAGAAATTCTGTCAAGTATCAGTAACATAGGTTTAACCCTGCGCGCAGAAATGCGCGTCAGCCAGACTGGTAATACATACAATCAGCTATGTCCGTGTGTGTGTGACTGTCTGTCTGTCTGTTTGTCAAGAAATTCATAGCGCCTGAAGAAGGACTTGGAGGGGTCGGGTCATGGTGGGGATGGATAGAGCATGGGACAAAACCTAAATAACACCCATGACCCGTGGTAAGCCCCGCCCACAGTGGGCGGGGCGTGCGTCGAAAGTTAGCGATGTCACTGAAAAAGATCATAACTCGGTCCCAGGGCAGTCCCCAGATGAGGGAACGGCGCAGCAAAGTTAGCACAGGGCTGACCGACCAAACAGAGGAGACACACCCGAGATGGGCGGGGCGTACTTGAGATGGGCGGCGCTTCCCGGGCCACTGAAAAATAGCTATAACTTGGCTACAAAGCAGCCCGGAGACGGGAAAAACTGGGATAAGGTTAGCAAGGGGGTGCCAGAGCAAATGAAGGAGACCCATTTCAAATACGACCCGCCCATTTTGAGTGACCACTCAAAATGGGTGGGTCGTACTTGAAATGGGCGGCGCTTTCCATAAAAATCTTAACTCGGAAATGTTTAGAGATCGCAGAAAAATCCCGATTCCCGAAAATGTTTAGAGATCGCAGAAAAGTACGAGTCGAGTGACGAAGATGAACATCTGGTAAGAGTCCACCATGTTTGCGGCATGCTGAGGCCGGCCCGCAGTGGGCGAGGCGCGCATTTGAACACGAGCTACCAGTGTAAAAAACCGTAGTTTGGTCCTAAAGCATTACAGATGGCAAAAAAAAGGATTATCGGCCCCCGACTGATCACATGCAGGAATTTGCGATGCACTCGCATTGTGGGCGGAGCGTGCGCCGAGGTGGACGGAGCAAACCTAAAAAATTCGTAAAACGCTTCCAAAGCACTCGACACCGGAAAAAAAATAGTTTAAGAGGGTTTTCGGTTGAGAAGCGCGAGGCCTACTTTGTGGGCAGAGCCTGCTTTGAGGTGGGCGGAGCCACACAAAAATTCTGTAGGACGGTTCCAGAACACTTCAGACACCGGGAAAGAAGTGGATTAAGGTTAGCAGAGGGTCGTCGGTGAAGATTGTGGGGCAAAAAAATTGTGGGCGGGGTCTGCTCTGAGGTGGGCGGAGTCAGACGAAAAATCTGTAAACTAGTTTAAGAGCACCCTAGACACCAGAAAAAATGTAAATCAAGGTCAGCACAGGGTTGATAGTGAGGATTCTGGGGCACAAACATTGCGGGCGGGGCCATCCCGAGGAAGGCGGAGTCAGACGAAAAGTCTGTAAAATAGTTTGAGAGCACTCCAGAGACCGGAAAAAAAGCGGATTAACGGAAAAAATGCGGATTAAAGTCAGCAGAGGGTCGCCGGTGAGGATTGTAGGGCACAAACATTGTGGGCGGGGCGTGCCCCGAGGTGGGCGGAGTCAGACGAAGAATCTGTAAAATAGCTTAAGAGTACTTCAGACCAGGGCACGCCATCTTTGTGATCATCACAACAGGGGGGTCGTATTTGCCCGCGATCGAGGGGGGGGGGTCGTAAACGCATGGCCATGTTGAAGTGGAGAGAGCGGTGATACACGGTACAAGTGAAAAGAAGCTTAAAAGGGACGATGTAGATGACAATAAATAGAACTAGGCACTATCGAACTATTCCTAACAATAAGTCAAGAATTAAAAAAAAATATTGCTGAAACTTTTTTCCTCCTTCCTCACAAAAAAAAAACTTCAAGACACTTCGCCCACCAACCCTCCTCATCTGGTCTAGATTAATCCCAATCCACTAATCCGCAAAATCTAGAAAAAGAATTGATTGCAAAAGTCACCTTCGAAACCGTAGAAATGAATCCTGAGCAATTCCTCACAACAAAATCAAACTCAACAAAACAAAATCAACTCAACAAAAACAAACAATCAAAATAATTCACAAATCAAATGGATAAGAAAAAACTCACCAGGCCAGCTGGGAACCGAACTATGGAGTACTTTTTTTTTGGCTGTTCGCGCGTCAGCGCGCTCATACAAAGCTCATTGTGCGCGCGCCTATTTTACGGCCTGAAGCCAAATTCAAGCCAAACACGGGAAAAGTACCCCTCATTTGAACACCATAAGTTCGTTGAAAGTGAAGCTATCGGAGAGAGGTAAGTGGGAATGAGTAGAGCAGTCGCTATGCTGGACGTCCATGGCAAGCTTCATACACGGCCTTTCGTAAAAAAAGGAATTGTGCCGGAAGCTTGAAGATTTCTACTTTCTCGCAAGGCTTTAATTTTCTTCCTAGGCCAGCTCATTTCGTGACCACCCCCCACGACACGAAAAATCAGCTCCTCCGAGGCCATGAAACCTCCAGTTGCTTGAAGACTTTGGTATGCTTCTAAAACACATGTATTCGCAAAGGGTATCAGGACTTAGGCCATTGGGCGCCAATTGGCATCAACTCTGCAATGCGCCATGCATGGGGCTTTCACGCAGGTGTTTGGAAAGTGTAACTCCTAGATAGGGCTTCCCAAATGCAAGCAAATGTGCTCCTGCAATCAGAAAGGTCCGGGAATGTACTTTCGTCTGTTTATTCATCGTCAGTCGTAAGTCCTTTCCGCTTATAGATTCATGGTACCCTTGTGGGCGGTGATCGTAGCTCCTATCATCGCCCCTTCCTCGTACGTATTGTCAGTATGCTACACCAGCGCCAGAGTGCTGGACGTGCTTGGGACGAACGTAGGTACTGCGACCTCCCCCCCCCGCCCTCGACAGCAAAAATTTTGTGAAAAAATAGGAATTTTTGGGAAAAAATAGACAAAGTGGTAGGAGGTTGGAAAAAATCTAGGGAAAAGGTAACATGGGGAGGGGGTCGTACTTGAAGATGGAATCAGGGGGTTCGTACTTCTCAGGGAATGATCACAACGAAATGGCGTGCCCTGCTTCAGACACCGGAAAAAAGTGGAGTACACAACAAAAAGCGGATATCAATTGAGTCTAGAAATATGTGAAAGAAAAAACGCGCGGGGAAGCCACGCCCGCGCAGCCGGGCCGTATCAGAGGGAGGGGCGCCGGCGTTAGCCGGCGAGCCGACTGGTGGGGTAATAAGAGGGTAGAGATAGCTGGTACCCTCCTATCGCACCATATTCTCTACCAGCAGTCTGCTACTGTACTATCCCCTATACTCCACCAGCTATCTGCTACCCTCTTATCGCCCCTTACTCTCCACTACCAGATACTGGCGAACGCTGGCAAACGCTGGCAGACGCTAGACCGATACCTATGCTGCCGTAGTCCTCGAGACGCTTCTGGTCGCTGGTGGACGCTGGCAGATGGTGGTAGCCGCCAGGTCGACATCTATACTTTCCCCGACACTGCCGCGGCGTACGCTGGAAACGCTACGCTACGCTATTACAAAATATAAACGCAGCCTAACTATTTTGCATGGGGAAGAAGTAGATATAAATCTAGTTTCCTGCGCCTCAGCGTATGCCAGAGTCCATAAGCGACCACAGTTTATAAACGAAAAGCAGGGTCTAGAATAGATATCCAGCGTCTGCCAGCGTCTGTCAGCATCCGGGAGTGCAGAGTATGGGGTAATAAGAGGGTAGAGATAGCTGGTACCCTGCTATCGCACCATATTCTCTACCAGCAATCTGCTACTGTACTATCCACTATACTCCGCCAGCTCTCTGCTACCCTCTTATCGCCCCTTACTCTCCACACCAGATACTGGCGAACGCTGGCAAACGCTGGCAGACGTTAGACCGATACCTATGCTGTCGTAGTCCTCGAGACGCTTCTGTTCGCTGGTGGACGCTGGCACATGCTGCAGACGCTGGCAGATGGTGGTAGCCGCTAGGCCGATATCTACACTTTCCTGCTCGCTATCTATACTTTCCTGGTCGCTACGCTACTGAAGACTCGGAACGCTGGTAGATGCTGCCGCAAATTATGAATGAGACCATACGAAAATCTCAGTACAACACAGGGAATTCTTCAAATGTCCCCTAGGTATTAACTGTTAGGAAACAAGAACGTCAAACCTTTTCTAGATGTTCTAACTGCTGTAGGTTTTCAGGCTGACCTAGTGAGTCCCAGTCCAACATGTCCATCATCCAATCGTAAGTTAAACACTGACCAGAAGAGAACCTGGTGAAAAAGTCAAAGTCAACTGCACTGATCACAATTCCGTAAAGCTACGTGGACACTGATGCCAAAGAAAGTTCGAACCCCTTACCTTCGCACCATTTTCACAAAAGCAGTAGCTGTCAATTTATTATCGACATTAATTGGTGATATGCAAAAGGTGTATCGCACCTAAGAAAAAAGACTAAAATTTGGTTCCTCGACGTCCGTGAATTATGGGTAGGATAAGAATGGTACGATCGCACCTCGTTAACGACCTCTCGCACCTGGATTCGAGGCATAATTAGGGAGGTGCGAAGAAATCTCATTAAGCCGATTAGCGAGGTGCGAAGCGACCTCATTAGCAGAGGCACGTCGTGCTCAACTGCAGCTGACCTCACTTCAAGGAAAAGCTATTAAACTATCCAAATCGGAATAAATCCATTGCAAGATTTCGGTAAAGTGGGTAAAAAGATTGCCATATATTTCATATATTTATTACTATTATTATTACTTAAACAAGAACAAGTGTACAAATTATTATTACTATGAGACATTTTTATGCAGTAGCACTCTATTTGGGCGCTAGATACTCCCTGCTGATAGTGTAAGAATGGTAGATTAGTACTAGAGTACATGATAACACAAAAGTTGCTCAAATAAACGAATTGTGTGCTTACTTCCTACCTGTTAGCTAAAGTATCTACTCATGACCTCTCCTTAAGGTGTTATATTTGGTCAGAGGTCTTTCAAAGTGATAAAGAAGTCGTTATGGGGACAATATAGACGAGGCCATTACCTGTATTTAAGCCGTCGAAGGGCAGGCAGTGATATCTTAGCGATATGCAAGGAATCCCTCCGTAATTTTCAAAGATTTCTACGCGACTTCCAAGTCTTCGTAAGCCGTAGCGGCTGTTTTCGATCGATTTATGCCGAATTCTAGATAACTAACTAGGAAGACCATATGGATAAGCTTTCCACTGACGGTCAATCAGTAATTAAGCACAATGCCATTTTGTTGAGTTTTACCGTGTAGTGCCAGCATTTTTATAAGTGGGCCTCACGTTTTTTTTAATTTCCTGATAGTTTAGTTTTCACTCGATTTATTCCGATTTCGATAACTCAATGATCTCTCATTGAATGAGGTCACTTCGCACTCGAGCACGATTTCCCCTTGCTTAATGAGGTCGCTTCGCACCTCGTTAATGATGTCTCGCACCTAGGGGCGAGGCATAAGCGCGGCATAATTAACGGAGGTGTGATCGAACCATTTTTATCTAACCCGTGAATTATCAAATAGAGGAAGACTCACTTTGAGAGGAAGAGGTATGTAATCAATCAAATCGGCAAGTGATCTCATTTGTTCCACAGTGCAGATGAAAAACTGATCGGATATTGAACATACTACAAGGATACAATCACTGAGCGCACTTTCTAACGATATCAAGAGATGAAGTGAATCGATGGATACTTTCGCGTTGAAACTTATTTCCCTTCAGTCCCGTAAATGGGTCCGCAATTTGAGGGCGTTTACACTTCGCGTCAATGCTTCAAGCGTCTCAAGCGTCTGTCAGTGTTCTGAGCGCTTCGAGCGTTTTGAGCGTCCGTCAGCATTTGAACGTTTCGAGCGACTGACTGATGAAGTGTAGGTGTAGATTATCGCTGAAAACGCTGGTGGATGCTCAGATTACTGGATCTCGATACGTATACTTTTTTGGTCGCTCCAAGCGCTCGAAACGCTCAAAGACAGCAGTAGTACATGGTCGTCCTTCCTTGTGCAGGTAATACAGCGGCCCAAGCCAGAGATGTCTCACTCCTGCGACACAGCGAGCGACTGCCCTTGTGCTAAATGCCCTCTGACGGAGGGTCGCTCAGTTGTTTTTTGTTGAGGCGGGCATCAATCGGAAGTGCATGTCCTTTTTGCCGACACGCCCAAGCCCATAGATGATTCTGCTCTCCTTTATTACATTTTATTCATTAGGAGCACACGCAGCCAACTGCAACCCATCTCGCAAAGTAAAACGCGTAAAAATTGCGAGCGACCCAATTTTTGCGGTGCAAAAGCTCGACGCACTACAGTGCACTAAAAGATGCACGCTACCGTAAGCCTGAATTCGGACGCTGGCTTTTTGAAGATTTCTTTTCCTTTTTAATAGTTTTTCTTTCGTGTTTTTGTTGTTTTCTTTTTGTATTCTTTCTTTTGCACTGGATGATATCCACTTCTGGGAGATGTGATAAAGGGATTTATGAGCCAGGGGTTGCACAGAGACCGCAGGGAGGTGTGAGTGTCAGAGAGTGATCTAGTTTATGGCGTTCTTGAGGACTCTTCTTGCTTTTCTTCTTCTTTGAGGAATTATCTACTGCTACTGTTTCATTCCACTCTATATAATTCACTACGTATGTTGACAGTTGTATGATGTGCTGTATGTTTCGTGTGCTGCGTCTGTCTGGATGATGTCACAAAATCATAGTGCCGAGGTCCCAGTAGCAGTTAGACATGATGTTAAGAGTGATGATAAATGGTGTGACGGGGACACTATTGATGAGTGACAGGAAGTTGATCTCAGTTGATAGGATCGATGATGCCTCAGAAGGGAGGATCATTCGTAACTCAGGTTACAGCAACAGCGGGACCTCGGATCCGCAGAGGCAATATAGGGGTATATAATAGTGATATGGGACGGGAATATTATTGCGGGTTGATGGAAAAGTCCGAGCTGAAAGTGACAGTAACATGGGAAAATCCCGTTCGTCCGGCTCACAGCAACAATGCGATCGATATACTCAAGTACAACGATCTCAATGATTCAAACAGGACTCATTCCTCACAGTTTATTATAACGACATCATGCTAAGCTAGCCTCTATTCCAATGCATGGTGTTTGTTTACAGAGATGCTATGAACAGCAGCAATTGACTTACTCACTCTTACCACATTATCTTCCATCAACAACTTAGTGAGGGCCATTTAAAAGGTTCCACTGCTGAATGCGGAGTGCATTCCAAAGTAAGACGCTTTAAAGAAAACATAGTACGCTCCACATCATAGGGTGTGATGAGACTATCAGCCCCCCAGCTGTCGATGTGTCGTGGTCCCCCGCCCAAACATGCCAGGAATGGAGAACAGGTCGTGAAAACGTACGCTGTTCCTCCAGCTCCTCCTTACACCTTTTGCGGCGCAGATTCCGTCCTTCATACATCCGTTGCAAGCGCGGCTTGTCGCGTGCGGCTCCTTGGGCACTTTGCCAAGTCCTTTAATTGCGGCTTTTAAATACCAAGTAAAACGCAATTTCCTGATGCGAAAAACATTGGAGGCTGCTGCAAAATAAGAACCAGAAATGATGAAGAGGTCAGAACTTGAAAGCAACTGTGGCCACTTCTGCACACCCTCGGAGCCGCGTATTTCACGAACATGAAAATAAAACGGCATACTCGTTAGTTGATACAAGCAAAACGCAATTTCCTGATGGCGACATAAATTTCGTAGGTTGTTACATACTTCAAATCCATCTGTACAAGAGTTGAAGATGGACACAGGCTAGAAATGAAGCACAACATTTTAAATGTAAATAAAACAAATGAAAAAATCAAGGAAAGGCAAATTAGTTAAAATCGCCTGTAAATTTCTACGATCTGGCGCGAATACGGCGCCAAAGCCATAGAAATACTTAGAATAAACGAGTGGGACGCTTGGATTGTTTTTATTCTCATGTTTTTTTCTGGGAATGCGCGCCTCTGATGGATTCTGCGAAAGCAGCCGAGTTGCTCTTGAGTTCTGGCCCTTGTCATCATCTTCTGTTCTTATTTTGTAGCACCTCCAATTTTATCCGCATCAGGAAATTGCGTTTTACTCGTTTTTGAGAGCGCAATTTAAAGACTTGGCAAAGTGCCAAGGAGCCGCACGCGACACGCGCGCTTGCAAGGAATGTTATGAAGGACGGGAATCTGCGCCGCAAAAGGTGTAAGGCGGAGCATAGAGGAACTAGCGTGTTTCACGATTCTATATCTCCATTCCTGGGCATGTTTGGGCGGGGGGACCACGACACATCGACAGCTGGGGGGCTGATAGTCTCATACACCCTCAATGCGTTTGAACGTACCATGTGTCTTTAAGAGGACAGAATGCATGAATCATAGACTGCTTCAGCGGCTATCCTAACAGGCTGCAGTATTCCCGTGTAGGTAATGAACGTGCCAGTCGGATCGCTGGCTAAGGCCGGCTCTTCTCCTTCTGTGATGGAGCGCCCGGCAACAGCTGGGCGATCCGACTGGTAATTGAAAGCAACTACATGACACTTTTGTAGCGGCAGCTGCCCTTAGATGCTGCCGTACGCTCAGAACACTGCCGCAGGGTATGTACGTACCTTTAAATAAGTCCAACACCAAGCTCGTGATTCCGGTGGCCAGTCGATGGTTAGCCGATGTACAGGTCAAGTGTTTAATCCTCCCAGACGAATCTGGTACCAATTTACCATCCCCGGAGGATAGAAGGCTTGGTTGGCCTGGGCGGGTGTCGACCCGGGATTTGAACTTGGCGCCGCGCGAGTGGTAAGCGCGCTTCTTGTCACTACACCACCTCCACTTGGGACCTTAGAAACAAACATTAAATGTAGGGTGAGAGAAGAACAGACGGGGATATAGCAGAAACTGAACAATCAATGAGAAATGAAGACTATGGTGAGAGGGCGGGGTAATGACTTGAAATGAAAACGTTAGATGAAAAGTCAGGAGAAAAGAAAATGTTGGTAAATTTAAACAAGGGATTTCGAAGTTAGGCTGAGGGTTCCTATTTCGTCGGATTCTCCTATTCTTTAGGTTTTCATAGTATTGCACTCCAATAAACTGGTATTTTTTCTATGTTTCTTTTCCTCCTTTTAGCAACAAACAGATCTATGTTGGAATCAATTTGATTCTGCCTCATAATTATATTTGAGACTTATCGCACTGAAACTTTTTTGGCGTTCTCTATGGTTTCCCTCCTTTTTCCCTTCTCTTCTTGTTATTGGCCCCAGATATCTATCTCTCAGTTGTTCCCCGAACATCCATCTTTTACACTTTGTTTATCTGATTCCAACTACAAGAAGAAGAAGGTTTGGGAACGGATATTTTGGAGCAGACGCAGCACGGACCTGCTCAATGGTAGAGTTGTCTCCGTGAATTCAGCGTATCAAATAATTCCCAGAAAATGTAATCATTACCTGAAACGAACAAATCCAGTAGGTGGACGAACGACGCTTGCGGGAGATGAAAAGAGAACGTTTCTATTTGCTCGAAAGTTGGAGCAATGCCGACCGTTTCGATGGGTTCGACCTCAAAATGAGAAAAGGAAGAGGTTATTCGTAATACAGTTCGCTAAACACGGTAAGGTTAACCTACTGGTTGACTCAGTATCTCACGGAGTGTTCCAATGTCTTCATTGCGAAGAGTGGTGGCCACGCCATCAGCAAAAGTTGTACCGAACCTTAACAGACAGGGAGGGACTCGACCACTAAACTTACTAAAAAGCAGGATTGGAGTGAACAAATATCGAATACGTTAAGAACATGCAAATAAAAACAAAATAATAAAAAGATTGTACATTAGGATAAATATAAACGATTATGACGTCAACCATCTCAACCTACATCACGCAGAAGTGGAGCGTCAAAAGAATGACGAGATTAGGGAGTACCCGTGAAAATAGCGATATTTGGCTTCAGAAAGAACATTGGGCTGTGGAGCAGTAGAGCACAAGGAAGGAGAGGGGAAAAATCTAGAGAGCTGGAAGAAACGTGCGGAACTTTATCCCACCAAAACTCTGAAAGTATAAATCTTTCACCGCTGATGGATCACTCTGAGTCACCACTAGCAGGCGCGGTGTTCGCAAGGAGCAGCGGCGGCATATTGGCGGATATTGGAGGCAGCAGACCAGATCGCTGAAGGATGTGCTGGCACCGAAATATTCGAAAAAAGGAACATAAACAATAAAAAATTTTCGCGAAGAGTTTTGCATTATTTTGGATCTTTTTAAGTTTTTTTTCAATAAGATTTTTTTCGCCTCTTTTGTGTTACACATTCAGATTGCAATGAGGCTCCAGGACAGACAATTTCAAGAGGTGCACACCGTTGTACACCCCCTGTTACGTTGAACAAATCTACCATTGGACTTTGCTGAACGATACTTTGAAAGAAGTTATAGAGGTTTTTCCTCACGCTTTTCTCGCAAAAGAGCGCTAGTCCCAGAGCGGCCGGGGCCTGTAGCGCGCGACATAACCACTTTTGCGCAGAGTGAGGGTGATATCCGTGTTCAGGAGTTAAATAACCCCTGTGAACGGCATTCCAGCGAAATCTGAGATTTCTACTTAACTCCGAAAAATGTGG